TTTGCATCTCCACTGCTGCCTCTTGAGAAGAGCACAGAGCAGAGCAGGCACTTTGAACTCATTACCTGTTGAGAGCATGTCACAGTAGCAGCGATGCCATTGTGGGAAAACTGGTAAACTGAGGTAGGCACGATCACTGACAGCTGTGATCACTCACTAAACGAACTGGTGTTTCGTGGGTAATTATTGATAAACACATCCATATTCTCTTATCAGAAATTTTTGCTAAGACATTAGACAAACATCTCTTTGAGCCACTTGACTGTAATTCTCTGTGGTGCTGGGAGGGTTAAAGAATAAATGAGAGAATTATAAAGCATTTCTAAACGCTGAATTGGAGTCATTTGCATAGAACTTAGTAACATAGTGTTTAAGTGGCTAATTTTTCTTTTTACGAAGCAGCATATGCCAGTTAATGAAATGTATAGCTAAATGCTGAATAGTCTTAAAAACACTGTTTTCTCTTCCCTCAGTATTTTCCCCTTTGTGTAGAAAGATGTATTTGCTAGAACTACAAAACTCGTTCCTCTAGGCTTCTGCTGCATGACCTTCCTGTAGACCTTATTTATGGCTCTCTCCTGATGCAATGCTTTGGGGGGCAAAATATGCTCTAGACTGTAGATCAACTACACAAATCAATTTCTGTGGAGTTATTGTTATCCAAGTCAAAACTTTGATTTGGAAAGGGGTAGTAAAAGAAATATTTCTTCATATGTATTTCAATTTCCTTAGAACATAAATATATTTTATTCTTTCCTAAACATGACATTTTTCAGCCACAGTAACAGTTTATTTATTACTTTCCAAACTTTTCTTCTTAGCAGTAAAGCCTTACATACTTACAGATAAAATTTAAATGCAGTTAACGGTCTAAGTGTGTTAGTCTCAGGATGGCTTTGGGTTTCATTAAGAACACGTTTTCTGTAATTGGATGAACACTTGTCATTGTAGCAATTACATTAACCTGAAAAGATGGCTGGCTGGTTAGCAGGGCTAGAAAAAGTTAAATTGTAAGTGTGATGAAATATAAGAGTGAGTCTCCAGCATACAACATTTAAGGAATACCTGTAAGCCACCTACTCTCAGTTAATATAGTGTCACACTGGAAGAATGCTTGCCGCCTTAAGTAGGTAGCTTTTCATCGGTGTTGATTCAGCCTTACAAAAGATATTGACAATGTCTGGGGGCATCTACTGTCACCACTTTCAAAAGAGGTCTATGATAATGTTCAGATAGCCTTCCTTTTATTATCCAGGACCAAATATCGGTGGTGCTGGGATTGAGATAGGTGGCCCCAATTTAGTTATTTATATCAATTATATTAAAAAAATCTTCCTTTTTACTAAACATTTAGAGGTAATAATGGCTACAACCTGTTTGGGGAAACTATACAATTTTCAATCGTCACAAACATAATTTTGGTAGATACACAGTATATTTGACCTATAAAAGACACAAAATGACATAAGTAAGATCTTATAATTTACCAAACTGCCTTAGTAACTGGCTTTTCATTGACCGTTAGGCTTTACAAACCTGCTTTTCTTCCTGTTAGTCTTCTGGTGAAACAGTAAAGTGAATAGTTGATTCCCAGAAGGAAGGAGAGCAGAGGAAGAGAAATGAAGGGGCTTGATAAGATCCAAATTGAATTACTCGGCTTTGGCTGTTTGAAAGTGGGCTGCTTTCCTTGTTTGCTATGGAATTAAACACCCCCTAAATTCACTGAACTACAGCAGCAGTATGAGGTAGGCCCTTTCAGGATATAATGAAGTTCTTACAGGGCTTGGCCCCCTGTGTGTGAATCGGTGTCCCGTGAACAGGCCTGAGAAAACCAGCCTAGGCCCAGTCTTGCTCTGTGGCTCCTCCCCTTGTGGAACACAACCTATGTCCTTTTTGCCTTTACTACCACAGGGTTACCCAGAAGGCCTTGACAGTTAAAGGTCCGAAGATGTGACCTTGGGCTTCTCAGCCTCCGGAACTGTGAGAAATAAACTTCAATTCTTTTTAAATTACCCAGCTACAGGCATTTTGTTATAGCAACACAAGTGGACTAAGATGCCAATTTAAAACTGAACATAGAATGCCTTAATCCAAAATCTAATTTGAAATGCAAGGAGAAATTGAAATTTTTCTTTTTACTAGAAAATAAAGTGTAATTAATGTTTAACTTCTTTCCGTTCAGGCTTGCACATGTAGGTTTTGGAGGACTCAAATTGAACAGCCTCTCTGATAATTTGCAAACAGTGTGCCCTGGGCTTTAACCTTAACAATAAAATAGCAGAAGAAAGAAAAAGATTTGGAAGATCGAAACATTTCAAGTTTTGTAACGTATATCTGCTTTACTATTAGTGTAATTCAGAAATTCTCAAGTGCCTAAGGATTGGTGGTTAGAAACTCACTTCCTGCTGCTTTCTTTGCATTAGGACCTTTGTCATGTTATCAGTCTAGAGACCTAAAGCCCATGATGAGACTAAGCAGTAATCTTCATGGTCAGTTTTGCTGGATTATTTGGATTTATTTGCAAAGCATATTCCAAGGACTGTTTATGAGGGCTTTTCCAAAGAGTTTTAACTGAGAAGAGAAGGGGCCGTTTGAATGTGGGTGTCTCCACTCCACAGCTGGGGTCCTGTGTTGAATTAAAGGAGAAGCTGGGCTGGACACTATCATTTGCTCATGACCCCGGCTCTAAAGGAAATGCAAACAACTGCCCCATGCACCTGCCTCTATGTATTCTTCCTGGCTGCGCTGGCGTACCGCAGACTGTGGGCAAAGTGAGCTCTTCTCTTAGTTGCTTTCGCCACATATTCTGTAACAGCAGTGAGAAAAATAACTATCCCAGGGGAGTTTCTGGATAGAATTTGAGGTGGAGCCCGCAAGGGGCAGACTGGCCCTGTGCGTCTGGAGCTCACAGGGCAGCTCATGCCTAGCTAAGCTGCGTTATCCAAGCCAAATTCTTCTGCTCACTCCTTTGAGAGTTTCTATAAATGATCGGCTGAAAAATACTGTCAAACACTTTCCATGTTATAAAATACAGTACTTACTGAAGAACCACACATAAACTTTCAACTAGGAACTTCTGACAAGGATTCATAAATGACTGAAATACTTTCCTGCAATTGTCTGTGTGATTCATCACAGGAATTTCCTAATGATTTTTTTTCCCATGTTATGGTAAAAAACACCATCAGTTCACTAAGGTAGCTGCACAATAATTAACTTGTTTCTGGTCAGCATAGTATTTGAGAAGTGACACATGTCTTGGAAGATAACAATACAAACTTTCCTTCTAACATTGTTTTTCTTATTTCACTGAATTGAAATGTGTATGCAGATCTGTCCAACTATTTCATAAATATTTTCTACATAAAATAGATAATACACAGTAAATTATATAAGTTTGAAGGGTCCAGATTTTATATATCTATACACCAATTGTTTACATAGGTAACCATCACCCAGATTAGGATATAGGATATTTCCTCAAAGGGTCTCTTCAGATATAGGGACATTGATATCTTACAATGTCTTTATCATCACAAGTTAGTTTTACCTGCTCTTAAATGTCATATTAATGAGACACAGTGTACTTTTATTTGTCTGGCTTCTTTTTAATGGAACAAACTGGGGTTAATAAAGAAAATATTGGAAGGGGAAAACATGATCAAATTAAACTGCATGAAATAAAATTTCAATTAAAGAAACAAATTAAAAATAATAAAGTAAAGTTTTTAATATACATATAAACGCAGGTATTAAGGAGGGGAGAGAGATTATCAAAGAAGGACAGCGCCCATGTGCACAAAAATAGATGTGGGCTTCTAAACCATCACCTGTTTTTCCCTTTCATCTGCACAGATGGTTTTCCTTACCACATCAACTGATAACCAGTGGTGGGAATGACAAACAAGGTTTTCCCATGAAACAAGGTGTTTTGACCCATGGCAGAGTGTGCCTGTTGTTGAGTAAGGGGCATCTTGTTATAGACCAAGAAGAACTGGAGAGAGGAAGTGTAAGTCTGTTCGTGGATGCTCTGTGGATGCCAATCTGAGTGTTCTCAACTTGATTATTGTGAAAAAAAGGAGAGAAGGCTATTCCTGGACTGACAGACACGACTATGTCTCACTGGCTGGGACCTAAAAGAGCTTGTAGAGTACAAAAGCTCTTTAATTTCTCTAAAGAAGATGATGTTGGCCAATATGTTGTCAGAAAGCACTTAAACAAAGAAGGTAAGAAGCCCAGGAGCAAAGCTCCCGAGATTCAGTGTCCTGTCATTCCACGTGCCCTGCAACACAAACGCCGATGTATTGCTCTGATGAAACAACACACTAAGAAAAACGAGGAGACTGCAGAATATGCTAAACTTTTGGCTAGGAGAATGAAGGAAGCTAAAGAAAAGTGACAAGAACAGATTGCCAGGAGATGTAGGCTGTCCTCTCTGAGAGCGTCTACTTCTAAATCTGAGTCCAGTCAAAAATAAGTCTTTAGGAGTAGCAAATAAATGATCATACCTTAAATCCCGCCCCCTTCCCCCACAAAAAGAAATGTATTTCTCAAAGGAGAAGCCACAGCCTTGACTAAGGTCTGAGGCATAAATGGGAAACACATCTATGCCAAGCAAATTTCATTTCATTTATTCAGTATCCTTGCTCTAAAAATGCTCCATAAAGTTTTGCTCTCATTTTTTTTTTAAATAATAAATTCCACTGGATGTAGTTTAAAATTTCAAAAGGAGATCCAGGGACACAGCCAAGGAAAGCAAGAAAATTTAATTGGGCAATGCAAAACCAAATCCATAGCTGCTGCTGCTTGGCCATGATAAAGTCCTAAGCCCAGCCCACAGAGTGTGCTCCGAATGAGGGAGCTGCAGACACCTGCCAGGGATCAGACTCTGCAGCAGAGAGCGCCACTGAGGGAAGCACAAGACCGAAACGTGGCATCTCTCACCTGGATTAACTAGTCCCTCCTGACTCAGCACACGTGTAAACACAGAATCCACTCACTTGTACAAAGCCGCATGCTGTGAAGTCCTCAAAGAAGGGCAGGCTCGGGCGGTCTTCTCTGTAGATGGTGAGTTTATACGTGGTTATTGTGTCACCCTCTGCTGGAGACTCATCCACCACAAGCACAGAGATCCTGTTCATTCCTAATCCCAGAGGGTAGTTGGCAAAACTGAGGGCAGGCAGTGGGAGGGCATGGAGAGTGAAAGATGGAAGAGAATGAATATGGGTGGAGACAGTTATTCAGCCCAAACAAATTCAGACATCAGTGTTTTTATCATCGTCGTCATTATTAATCATTATGATGATGTTTACTTGGCTAAAACATAAAAAGTATGCACAATTTCATAAGAAATATTAAACTTTTAAAAAATGAAATCTCCCTTTCTTAGTTCTTTGCCATGCTAGGGCTCATCTTTCAGGAGAATTCATGTCCTTCGTTAACTGGAGGGAAAGAAACTAATATTTATTAACCTGCCAGGGTCAGGCTTGACTTCTAATACAATGGCTCTATACAAAATCATGATCACTTTTATTATAAACATAGAGACTGTTAAAAACTGATATCAAACTGCCCCAAGTTACATGGTAGAGCAAGGGTAGGACTCAGAGTTGAGTGACATGAATCCTCTTTTCCTTTCTGTATCTTCTTTCAATTTTTCTTCTTTCTTTTTTTCTCCCCCTTTTCTTGTTCTTTCCCTTCTTTTGGCAAATGTTCTCATATATCCCAGGCTGACCTCCAGATGAGTATTTAACTGAAGGTTTCACACATGCTAGGCAAGTATATTGAGTAAAATATACCTTAGTATATTTTACTGAGTATACCCTGAGCCTAAATCCTCTTGTCTTTATACTAAATGGGACTGTTTTTAATGCCAAGCACATTTTCTTTCCTATGGCATGCAATCACAGCTTCTTCTCCATGGACACTGTATGTAATGAGGTTCTATTCCTATTCAAATTTTCAAACAAAAGAGTCAGAATTAAAAAAAAAATCTATAGAAAACAACAATAAACAAACATACCCTGCATTACTATTCCCACAAATTCTTACTTCTGGCTGATCAGACTGGAGAAGTTGGTTTTGGGTAAAAAGGGGGTCACCATTTATAAGCATCAGCTTCAACAATTTGAAAACAAGAAGATGACAAGAAATGGAGTTCTCCATGGCCCACAGAATCAACTAAGCAGGGCTCATAGAGGCTCACAGAGACTGAAGCAGCAATCACAGAGCCTGCATGGGTCTGAGCTGGGTCCTCTGTATATATGTTATGGTTGTTAGCTTGGTGTTTTTGCAGGGCTCTTTACATTGGGAGGAGTTGGGGTGTCTCTGACTCCTTTGCCTGCACTTGGTACCCTTTTCTTCCTTCCACGATTGCCTCATCCAACCTTGTTGTGAGGGTTTGTGCCTAATCTTACTGCAACTTTTTATTCTGTGTTTGATTGATATTCCTGGGAGGACTACTCTTTTTTTGAAGGGATTTGGAGGAGGAGTAGATCTAGGGAAGGATGCCTGGAGGAGTGGAGAGAGGGGAAATGGTGGTTGGGATGTAATGTATGACAGAAAAATAAAAAAAAGGAAAAGAAACAGAGTTCTAGATGGCTCCTCCTCATGCTTTATGTATCATGATCCTCTTTTGTAACAGTATTGTTAGAAAGATTAACTCCTGCCTGTTTGTGGATTGGTAGAGAACCTAGGAGTGTTTTCTATGCACAGGAACCCTGGAAAAGGAAGGACGTTACCCTGCCATGCTCTAAACCACTGTCAAAGGTGGGCTGACCTGCTTCCTGGTGAGAGGCCAGCCCTGCACACATGCCCTACCTTGGCCCTGCCCGCTCTTGCAGGTGCACCTTGCACTGACACTTGTTAGAAGCCTCTGCTCCGATCCTCACTGTGAGCACATCAAAGGGCACTTCACAGTAATAATCCGTGATCTTCGGATTAAACTCCGGACTTAGTTCTAAGTGGGGATGGGTGACGATCTTCTTGATGTGGCAGAGCGTGTCTTCCTCTGTTACCAAGACATAAAGGATGAGAAAGGCAACTGTGAAACTGCATGTGACTAAGGCGTCTCCTCTCCTCCTCCTATGCACAGTCTCAGTGCTCAGTGGCTATCCGCTCAGCACCGCTGGTTTGTGGCATCAGTCTGACTTCCAGTTTGTCAGGTGTGGGGGAGCCTCCTCAGACCAGCTGGTCACTTTGCCTGGTGCCGTACAGACAGTGTATCTTTTCTCAGTCCTTGAAAGGATAAAGGTGCAGAAGGTGGGGGAAAATGTCTCTCCTGTGGACTGATAACATTCGCATGTGATACATGACATCTCAATTAACTATGTAAATGGAGACAACCGCTCCATGCGACAGTGACAGAAAGGCACCCGCAGGCAATCAGGAAACTTTCTTAATGGAAAATTGTTATTAAATTGCCATTATTGACACAGGAGTAGTAGGGTAGAGCATAGAATGTGATCTTTGGCATCATACTGAACACATAGTTCAAAATGTCCACATGATATCTTGAAATTCCTTCCCAAGCCACCTCAACAGGGAAAAAGGTCAGAAAGCAAAAGAAGGAAAATGCTGTATCTGCTCAAACCTGTCCTCAAATCTAGAACGACTTCATGCCATTGAAGATAAACTGTCCTTTGGCAATCATCTTATAGCAAACACTATCTTGGTACACGAAAAGAAAAAAGCTTTAGTGGTGTGCACACACACATTAGCTACTGTAAAATTACATCTAACATTAATATTTGGAATCGACAGTACCCAAGCGAGTGTCAAAATGGTTTTCCAAGAGGCATCTACAAAAGTTTTATTTATTCTTTACAACAGTCAACAAAACTAGAGCAAATGGAAGTATAGGAAATTCTCCTGAAATCAGCAAAGTGAAGGCATCTTAGCATCACTTGGCATTCAGTGATACTGAATAGCATAGCAAGAAAGGGTACCAGAGGGTGCAATGCCAGAACTGAAGTTAGCAAAAAGACATTGTTCTAGTGATGTCTGTCTCTCTCCTTTTTTATAGTTATCACAGTGTTTTCTCTAAAATCAAATCTAATGGCTTGTTCCCAATTCACAGCAGTTTCTCATCATTTCCAGGGTCAAATTAATGAAGGGGAAGGGACTCCACAGGCTGCTCCTTGTTCCGTCACCATTGTTTCTGATGTCATGTCCGGGACTTTGTATAAGGAATATGGAGAAGCATCTGGCAATGTGGGGACAGGAAACCATCAGTCATCCAACTATTTTACTCTAGTTCTGAGAACCAGGTCTCCAAATAGCTGCCTGTGTGCTCTAAGCAATGAAAGTTAATATAAGCATTTCTATCTCCTGTTCTATGGGTTTCTCTGCCTGCGGAAGAAAAAACATTAATCAAGTATAAATTAAGAGCACAATAGTATCATAAATAGCGTATAATTTCAGTTTGCCGAAAAGGCTTATTTTAAAAAACCCAATGAGACGATTTTGTTGAGTCTCCTAGTGATTTCAGTAAACAGCTTACTTTTGTCATTTGAAAAGAACAAGTTAGCTGAAGATTTTTATCTGACTGACATATATAGGCAGACTTCATCTATAATTTTAATAATCTGTCTTAGTATGATTCATAAGAATGTAAGTGCAGAGCGTTATAACTCACACTGAAAATAATCATTGATTTTCATTCGAATTTAGCTGATTTTCAATAACGTATTGGTTTTTAAAATGAAAGTCCCCCCCACCCCATCCACAGCATTGTGTCTGCTCAAGGTATGGGGATAAACATAGTGAAAACAGGACGTTAGTAGTCATGAAATTTGATCCAAATGGATGCTCTGGACCCAGCACGGCACTAAACGAACCAGAGCAGTGACCAGCCCTGGTCAGGGAGGCCTGAACTGCCAGGTACGAAGGGAGTATAAGTACACTTTTGTGCTAAGAACCACACAAACGAGTAACAAAGTAGGAGATTGGTTTTTTGTTTGTTTGTTTGTTTGTTTTCAATATGAGTCGTAGGAGGTGTATTTCAACTTAATAGGCTCTCTTTCTTTTTATATATCCTTCACTTATAATATATGACACAAGGTCTTCCCATACAGCCCACTCTGGCCTTGAACTTGTGATCTTCTGACCTTGGTCTTCCCAGTGCTGGGATGACAGGCATGTGCCCCTTTATGGACTAAGAATGTATTTTTATGATGATTCGGTGAGAATTAATTTCCTTTCAGTTTATACTATTTATGATCCTTTAAATATTTCACTGAGGTAGTCACAGTTTTCAAAGGGGGACTTATGCTTCTTATAAATTGAACCACACCGACACATGAGATGAAATAAATGGGCAATTACTTCCTCAAGCATGATTTTAGCAAGACCTCACCACCTCCATCAAACGCTCCACCTCTGCACTGGCTGCTGCATCCTGTCCTGGACCCTTCCTTGAAAGCTGATTTAGCTCTGACATCATTGCACCTGAATGAGCTGCCTTTAAACACCTGGTGTGTCCTTGGCGGCTTTCCGAGTCCTGTCCTGACTTGTCTCAGGCCAGCTTACCTTAGATCTACGGAGAACCCAGCATGAGAGATGGTGGTAGCAGGCTGCTTAACCTATTTGGCAAGCATACATGGGAAAGCTGTTTGAAGTTTTGGTTGTTTTTAATGGACTTCTTTTAACCATAGGATTTTATTGCTCTCTTAATGGATCATCATAACTCATATTAAACACAGGAAAAGTTTATACTCTTGAAGGGAACCCCACCCAGGCAGAAGCATTGCCCACAATATTTTTAAGTCTCATACCAGACCACAGAAGCAGAGAGATTAATTGTAAAAGTCCAGGTAGGATGAATTTTTAATCAGGGAAAAACAACATGAACTAAGATGATATTTCCTGACAATGCGCCCCTCCTCTCTATATCACATTACCTGGGAACTGAAAGCAATGAGATCATCCAGATCAGAATACAGAATACAAAGAGATGTCACATTGCATTTAGCCCTGGACCTAGCAATCGGACAGACTCTTAGAAAATATTACTAACTGCCAATTCTCCTAGTTTTCTTATTGAGCTGAGTTTGTGTTTTTGTGTTTTAAATCATACTCCGAAAAGAAATCATACCAGGAGAAAGAAGAACCACGTCTTGTAGGTGTGAGAGATTGGTAGTCGGGGGTAGGGGTCGGGGGTGGGGGTCAGGGGTGAGGGGAGCACCTGCTCTCTGTTCCCTGTGAAATTCAGCGGTTCTTGAAAAGCTTTCAGTCTTTGGCTGACTGCACTGGTTGATTTCATTAAACATGAATACTAATCAGTCTAGCATGATATTTGATGTCATTATCTGAAAAGGATGAATAAACACCAGTATTTAGAACGCAAACAAGTTAGAATGTTTTAATTCTAAGATTTTTATTTATAGTAAATAAAGCCTAAGTTTATACACTTCAAGACAAGTTTTCTCCTTTCTTTCCTTTCTTTTATTTTCTTCTTTCTCTTTGTAGGGCTGTCTGTCTGAGAACTCACTCTATAGACCAGGCTGGCCTTAAGTCGGAGATCTGCCTGCCTCTGCCTCTGAGTGCTGGAACTAAAGGCTTGTGGCATGACTATCCAGAAGACAAGCTTGCTAAATTCAAATTTTAGCAAAAAGTGTAAGGACTGATAGATATGGATCTTTTTAAAAGGCATATATTATAAAAAATGAATCTATATTGGAGAGCTATTAAGCTATGAAGAAAATCCAGGAGTCTGGAGAACTGATTCATTCGTTCAGAGCGCAGCTCTGGCTGCTGTTCAAGAGAACCCAGGTTCCATTCCCAGTACCTACATGGTGGCTCACAACCATCAGTAACTTCAGTTCCAGGAGTTATGAAGAAAACAAAAGAAGGGATCCGGCACTCTTCTGGCCTCCTCAAGCACCATGCATTTGTGAAGTGCGCAAACACACACATTCAAGCAAAATACCCATACATGTAAAAGAAATAATAATTTTTTTAAAAAGATAATTCAGGAGCTTAGGCTAAATCTGAAAGTCATAACTCAGCCATTTAATATCTATGTGACCTTGGAAGTAAGCTGAAAAGATAGGCTTTACAATACTACTGTAACTACATGGAACCGGATGAAGAAGATAGCTTTTAAATTTAAATTTTACAAAAACTTAAATTGCATGTATACTCTTACTATGAACAGTTAAAATTCACGGTGTTTTAAGAAAATAAACTGAAAATTGAGTTTGAAATTCTCAGTTGTTTTGAAGAGACTTCCACTCAAGTACCCCCCATTACAGCAATTACATAGGAGGAAAAGAAAATCACATCAGAATAACGAGACTCCTAAACATGATGTATGAGCCAAATTCTACCCTAACAGAAAGCTTTAAGGTTCCCTGGGGCCCTAAAAGTGAGTCTAGAAGTCAGTGACCTAAAACAACACATATACATGTAATATTTTAAACTAAAACCTGGATAAGTAAAAATAGAAATGAACTGTTCCATTCATGTAGAAGTGACAGATATTACCATAACCAGAAATAAAACGTTTAAAATTTACTTTAAAGAAACTAGCAGCTTAAAGACATCGGAATACCATAAACATTTATATGTTTTCAACGTTGGGTTGTGTCTAAGTTGTGGGCTATTCTATGGAAACGGTTTAATTTCAACTCACCATTACTGCAGTGTATATCTTTATTTTCATACAAAACTTGTGGGACTGCATCTAAAATTAAAAAAAAAGAAAATTCTGTGAATTTAATGTACAAACTACAGGTTTCATTAAATTAAAAAAAATCTCTGCATGTGTGTCTCTTGGTGTCTCAGTCCTCTCTTTCTTTCTTTCTTTCTTTCTTTCTTTCTTTCTTTCTTTCTTTCTTTCTTTCTTTCTTTCTTTCTTTCTTTCTCCGTCTCTCCTTCTCTGAATCTGAAGTTCACAGATGAGCTAGACAGGCCAATCAGCAAGGCCCAAAGACCTGACTGTCTCTACCTCCACCTCACCCCCAAGCACTGAGGTTACTGACTCTGACTTGCACTCCCTTACCCTGAGTTCTATATGCATGCTAGGGATGGAACACAGGGTACTTGTGTACAAATAGCAAGCAATTTAGTGACTGAGCCATCTCTCCAGCCCTCACCAACAATCTTCCTTTTTCCTTTCCTTTCCTTTCCTTTCCTTTCCTTTCCTTTCCTTTCCTTTCCTTTCCTTTCCTTTCCTTTCCTTTCCTTTCCTTTCCTTTCCCTCTTTCTTTCCTTTCCCTCTTTCCTTTTCCTCTTTCCTTTCCTCTTTCCTTTCCCTTTCCCCTTCCCTTCCCTTCCCTCCCCTCCCCTTCCTTTCCCTCCCCTCCCCTCCCTTCCCAGCCCTTCCCTTCCCTTCCCTTCCCTTCCCTTCCCTTCCCTTCCCTTTCCTTTCCTTTCCTTGTCTGCCTGCTTGTCTGAAACAGGGTTTCTGTGTCTAACATCCCTGGCTGTCCTGGAGTCCCTTTGTAGACCAGACTGATCTCGAACTCACAGAGATCCGCCTGCTTCTGCCTCCCGAATGCTGGGATTGAAGGCATGCGCCACCACACCTAGCTACCAACAAGCTTTTCTAAGGAAAGCTGAGAGCTACAATACATTCAGCTATTGAAGTCAAAGCTCAGACAAGTGATTACTTCAAGTAGGAGAATATTGGAGGGGCAAATGAATGGTCTGACTGTTACCTTTACCCCAAAGGTAAACTATTACATTTTCTTCTAGTTCTGTGATCTTATGCTACAATATCCTAAATTGGTGGAATGAAGGCATTCTAACCAGTTGATTCTCCTTTTTTTTTTTTTTTAACTTTTTAGCTAACTAAATGTCCATCTAAAAAAGTCCCAATAAATATTTATGGACAAATGAATGCATAAAATATGCAGGGTGCTTTAAAATATGTATTTAAAAAGAAAAAACCTGGTAACAGATACTCATTCATTATCTACTCATTGCTAGGCCTACTGACTCATTCTGTTGAATCGTGTTCTTTTTTTATATTTCTTTTATTTTTTACTTATGTACATTGGTGTTTTGCCTACATGTATGTCTGTGTGAGGGAGTTGGATCCCTGGGACAGGAGTTACAGACGGTTGTGAGCTGCTGTGTGGGTGCTGGGAGTTGAACCCCAAACCTCTGAAAGAGCAGCCAGTGCCCTGAACTGCTGAGTGCGTCTCGCTAGCCCCAAATCCGTGGTTCTTAAACTGGTATCCTTCAACTCACTGACGGGCCTAAAGCAACACTTTAGTTAGCAGATTCATGCAGCGCAGTATTGGAGTAGAAAATGAAAATAAAATAGATTTTGCTGGAGGACCGAGGGTGGGGTTGGGAAGAGAGGAGGGATCAGGTGAGGGTGGGGGAGAGAGGAAATACTGGGACTAACGACTGGAATTGTGGGGTGTGTCGAGACAAGGTAGAATCTAGTGCAATGGAATCCCCCGTGGAATCTACGAGAGTAACCCTAGCAAAAGTCCTAGGAATGGGGCACAAGGAGCCTGACCCGGCTGTCTGTGAACAGGCAAGTGGAGATGGAGGGATACCAGCCCCCAAACCTTCCACCTTTAGTTTGTCCTGCCTGGAGAGTGTTCTGAGACTGGAGACTAGCAAAGTCATCATCAGAGAGAGCAGAGAGACTGCTTCCCAGGACTGACTGGAACAGATGCAGAATACCACAGCCAAGCATTAGATGGAGCGCAGGAGTCCTGTGGAGGAGGAGGGTAAAGAACAGGAGGAACCAGAGAGCTCAGGGACACCACAAGAACAAGGCCTACAGATCAACTAACCAGACTTGTGGGAGCTCGAAGAGATCAAGGAGCCTGTAGGGGTCTGAGTAGCTTGGTGTTCTTGTGAGATTTCTAACGGGAGCTGAAGGGGCGCTGTCTCTGACTCTTGACTGCTTCTGGGAACCTTCTCCTGCTGGGTCGCCTCCTTCAGCCTTGATGTGATGGTTTGTTGTGGGCATCCCCAGCAAAGGGCCATTAGCGTTCAGGGCGTGGGGCAACTTCTTCTGACATGACTGTGGGAGCAGGGAGCAGGTGACCTGCTGACTTAGGAGAGTGCGGCCAGAGACGATCAGCCAATGGCAGGCTCGGAGCTGGTGTGGAGGAACCTGATTGGTCGCTAAAAGCTGTAGGATGCTCTCTCTCTTCCAGAATAAAATCTGCAGCCACTAGCCTCAGTTTGCCTTCTCCCGACTCCCAGTGCCTGTGTGATGACTCTGAGCCTCTCACAGCCTCAGCCTGAGCCCCCTCTTCTCATCCACAGGCTGGACCCTTGGGAGGAGAATCAACAGTATGTGCCTGGCCTTATTGTAGCTTGTTACGCCTTAGTTAATGTCCCTGGGAGGCCTACTCTTTCCAGAGGGGAGGGAGGACCAGGTTGTGGTGGATCCCGGGAAGAGGGAAGGTGGGAAGAAACATAGGGGAGGGGAAGGAGGGAAAGCTGGGGTTTGGAAGTAATATATAAGAAAAGAATTTCTTAATAAAAGAAAAAGTAATTTTTTTGTCACACAAAAAGAAAATAATAAGAAAAAAAAAGAAAAATATCCACCAATATTAGGTATTTCCTTGCACTAAAGAACTTGTTACAACAGGATTTTTGGCCCAACGCTGTGGCTCTCCATGGTGCTGCCCCCATCTTCTAGCCAGAATTCTGGCTTAAGGGCCCATCAGTGAGCTTGAAAGACACTAGTTTGAGAACTACACATATACTTAACTGTTTTCTTAAGATGAATATTTAGCAGTAGAACTTTTAGTCTATAAGGACACATTTCATTTAACTAAATGATCTATTTTTATTCATTAAGGGTTGAGCCTGGAGCCTCTACATACCAAGTATGTGTTCTCCCCCTGAGTGCTAGGCTCCAAGACTCACTTTTAAACCTTACTTTCTGTGCTTTCACGTAGTCCTTTAACATGTGTTCCAGTTTAAACGTTTACATGATTATGAGAACAGTCATTTCCCCTCACTCTTCCACTGACTTTAAGAAGGAAAATACAAATTTGAGGAGAAAATATCACTTCTTTGCTCAATTTTTGTCTTTGATCACTAACAAAGTTAAACATATATGTGTGTGTGTGTGTATATATATATATATATATATATATATATATAACCTTTCTTTATGCTGTAATTTGTGGGACTACATGCTTTTACCTTTTTTACTTTTTACTGCTTCCAATGACTCTTGTGGTTTCTCCCTGGTCTCCTTTCTTGTTGAAGAATTCCTGCAAATACGTAAATACAATCCCAGTCAAGTCCAGATCAACAACGTAAGCACACCTGTGTTTTGTCCCAGTTGAGCAGTTATTTTGGTGAAGACAAGAAATGGTGTCTGGATTTCATTCTCCAGGGCTGGCTATCTAGCCTCCTGTCAGGTGGATGAGGTGGATGCCATCTCATCATTTCTAATCAGTAAACACACAGTTGAAAAAAACAGTCACTCTCTGGTTGAAAGCTGAGCAAACTCAGATAGCTTAGATCCACCTGGGGTGATTCAAAAATGCACATTTTCACCGGGACCTTTGCCTAACATTCCATGGCTTTGAAGCCAAGAGCCCTGGAAATCTTGAGACACAGCCTGAGAGTCTATGAAGAAGCAGACATGGCTCTAGGAATCAGCTGACATTGCCAAAGCACAGGTTCTGAGCCTGCTGATAACCAACAGAGAATGGGAAAGGTTGTTTATATCCTGGCGTGTTTTCTGTGTTGTGTATGTAACCCAATGCTTGGCTCGATGGACCCATAAGTCCTTAAACCTGGAACTAAAACAACCTAAACTGCAGTCAGAAAAGTTTTCTGGTCTGGGTAATATGGGGCACTGTGGTCTCTCGCCCTCGACGTGATTTTCCTGTGTTGGTATGATGCCTTGCTGTCTATCTCCCCGTTAAAATGGAGATAATAAATAGTATTTGCTCTGGGTGGGAACACTGAGAATCAGATAAAATGCTGGCGCCAGTCACTGTGCTGAGTTCGGCAGCAGCACAAAGGTCATCTTCTGTCTTTTACAGCAGCCGCAGCTGGCAGGAAGTCTAGAAGGACCTGGGCATTGAACAGATTTTCCTAACTGCTAACTAGAATTTCTATCATCGGCACTGCTAGAAGTTTCAACAATTTCCCTTCCTTTGCTATACACCACAAAATGGAGGGAAATGCAGTGACATGTGTGGCAGAAGGCATGGAATTTTTGATGGTGTCGAGATTTTCAGTTGTTTATTTTTATTTTTGTAAAGCCAGGGATCCAACCCTGGGCCTCCTACACAGTCATGACCACTCTACTAAGCACGTAAATTTAGCTAAAATCCAAATTAAAAAAAAAAAAAATCTAAGAATTTCCCATGAAGAACTTTAGGAGGCTCATTCAAGAGATGTAGCCCTGAAATTCCCATCACCTGAATCATGGAACCATGGCTGTCTTAATGGAGTGAAAACTGCTACACAAAAGCATCATGCATTTCTTTCCTGGATATGTGTGTGACTAAATTATGTTTGAATTTGCGTGTATTTTCTCAGAAAAACACTTCCACCGAGAAAAGTGTATATGCAGCTTTATTCTCAGGAAAGTGAAAATTGAGGAAGCTTGCCACCCTGCTTAGATTAAGGTGTCTGGATTCTGAGCCTCATGCATAATGCCTACCACTGTTGACGTTCTGATTCTATCTTTCCTGACCGTGTTGCCATAGTACAAGCAAATGATCTTTTTTTTTTCTTTTTTCCAAAGGAATGATGGATGAAGTCATTAGATCCAAGTGCCATATATGTGAAGATGAAAACATGGCACTCTCCCTGCCTGCGTGCCACACTGAGTAAAAGTGCAGCCCGATGGGCGAGGAGGTCAGTATGGCAATGTTTGTATTGGCCTAATGTCTGAAGCTGCTGATTTGCCTTAGACTCTTAAGATCCCTCATTGGGAAAAATTGTATGAGAGCTGTGATCCTCCTTCAATAAGGCATGAATGCTCACGAATGATAACACACTCGCTGGTGAATGAAGAAAATGGAAGCTGAGTGCTTCAAAAACATTTCTAGGAGCATTATGCTTATTGGCTTTTGATAGATACTAAAAATTTGCTCCTGTTGGTGTTAATATAGAATGGCTTCTTTTGAACAGAAATGGCTTCCCTTATACAGGAAATTTGCCCTCACCATAGATACTAAGATGGTCTTTGAAAGGCATAAGAACACAAAAGGGAATATGTATAGAATTTCATCTCCTATCTGCACCACAGTGTAACATACTCAGAAACTTTCTTAGGTAATCCTCCTGGGCTCATACTGGTAGGTATCCTAAGCCATACTTATACATAAAGAAACCAAGTCTTAAAGGACACAGGACCTACTTTGCCTGCTATAATTAATAAACTTTAATGTTGGGATTTTTTTTCTGATCCACCTTTGTATGACTCAGAAAAGTTTCTGTCCTTCATAATTATAGTCATAATTATAGTAAGAATGGTGACCAGTCTTACATTTTTCTTTGAAGGCAAGACAATACCTTCTTAATTTTGGAATTTTGTATCTGATTTTATATGAGATGCTGGAGAAAACTATGCCAAGGAACAAATGTTCTAAACCTTTTAATTTTCCAGGGAACTTACTGAACGTTAAAGATATATAAATAGGCTCCTTGGAAAATTGTGCCTGTTCTTTGCCTATCTATACTGATGTAGGAGGCTGCCTTGAATTATTAGAGTGAAAACAAAGTATAAAAAGTGGCTTACAGTGCAGTGTCTAAAGCAATTTTTAAGCACATAAGGGAAAGCTACTTTTGGACTTACTGAGGGAATAAAGCCAAGCTTATAGCACTTTTGTAATCAAAGTGAGTGTTGATATTAGGAAATGTTCTAAGAATTCCTCAGATATGTGGTTATTTGTAATTTTCATTAGAAGTGAGTTTCTTATAGTCACTATCTGCTGAAGCTGAAGGAAATAAAAGATAAGTGAACAGTGCAGAGCTGAAGCGATTCCCAACAGTGACTGTAAGAGACATAAATGAGTGTCATGTCCCTTAGTCTTTCATCTCCCTGGGAGGCTTAGGTCTAATTCTGTTTTCCTGGCAGTAGAAAAGTCAAATGCTTTCTTAATTCTATCCATATTAAAGAACAGACAGAACTTTAAGTGCATCCCCTTTGCCAGCTACTAGAGGCATTAATATCTCACCTGCCTGCTACCTCTTTTTAGAGTGAAAATGAACATGGTAAATCACTCTCTAAAAGCAAAACAAATAAAGCACAGTATAGAATTATAAAATCATCTGACTTTTGTTCAGAGGAAAGCCATGCCTCTATAACCTCGGAACAAATGTGCCTGCTACATTTATCTCCAGGCTGATGGATGGTTCACAACACAAACCCCACCTAACCTTCCAGAGGCATCAGTAATCCAATGGTATGGGTCACAAAATGAAATAATATTGGCATATTTAATTTTAAACATTACTTTATAACGGAGTCACATCTTAGTTTGAAAACTGTTGGATGTATATTTTTTTTCCTACACTGTCTGATGACCACCGGAACCATTATGGTTTCAGTGCTTTAAAGTCATCTATTTTCCAGACCATGAATTCTTGGGCATACTTCTCTTTTTGTTGCTCGCTTTAATGTAGGCAAAGCCTTTTGAAATCAATCTTTTAGACTTAAGATTTTTTGGATTGCACAATTTAGATTTGTGGCTCTCTTACCATTCCAGGGGATGTAGCTGTGCCTTTTTATTCATGAGCCAAAATCGTTCAAATACATTTAAGAGAGACCAGTATTGGGACAGGACTGAGCCAGGAGCTACCATATCATAAAATTCACGCATCAGAGACTGGATGCCAGGAACGGTGGATGGGAAGAGCTGAGAAGAGATATTAAAAGAAAACATCAGCAGAAGAAAGAGATCTGTTGAAACTTTGGGGAAGTAATTTGAAATGGAGTTTTATGAACAGCCAGTTATTGTTTTGTCAAGCCTTTATCAAAAGCCTGTTGGTCATGGGCCGGGAGGGGACTTCCATCGCAATGAGAGCAGGGAGGACTAAGTCTGAGCCCCAGAAGGTACAAGAAGCCAAGCACAAACCCGTACAGAACCCAGCCTGGGAGGCAGAGACTCATGGACCCCCTGAGCTCACTGGCTGGCCAGCCCAGTCTATTGATGAGTCCTGGGCCAATGAGAGACTGTCTCAGAAAACTAGGCAGTGAAGGTTGTCTTCTGACCTCCCTGCTTATTTGTGTACACTTGTTCTTGTATACACACAGAGAGAGAGAGAATCCATGGGTCAGTGTTATAATTTATTTTTTCATACTGTTTTCAAGGCAAATGTTCCTTTCTAAAAATTTTAAAATATATTTATTTTTTATAAATTAGAGTTCATTCAATTTGTATCCCAGCTGTAGCCCCTCCCTCATTCTTTCCCAATCCTAACCTCCTTCCATCTCCTCCCATGCCCCTCCCCAAGTCCACTGATAGAGAAGGTCCTCCTTCCCTTCCATCTGACTCTAGCTTATCAGGTCTCATCAGGACTGCCTGCATTGTCCTTCCTCTGTGGCTTGGTAAGGCTGCCTCTCCTCAGGGGGAGGTGATCAAAGAGCAAGACACTAAGTTCATGTCAGACACAGTCCCTGTTCCCCTTACTAGGGTACCCACTTGGAGATTGAGCTGCCATGGGCTATATCTGTGCAGGGGTCCTACGTTATCTCCATGCATGGTCCTTGGTTGGATTAGCATTCTCAGAAAAGATTCCTGTGCCCAGATATTTTGGTTCTGTTGCTCTCCTTATGGAGCTCCAGTCCCCTTCAAGTCTTTCTGTCTTCCACTTTTTTCATAAGATTTCCTGCACTCTGCCCAAAGTTTGGCTATGAGTCTCAAAACAGATGCTGAGACTCATAGCCAAATGTTTCTTAGAAATACATTTTGAGAGTTACTGATTCTCATATTTCTAAATGGACTCACTGTTTTTTTCAGTGAGTATAAATGGGTATCTCCTCCTAGCAATCAAACTCTGAAAACTGCTAAGAAACAAAGGAAGTCACCAGTGAAGAAATGAAGAAAAGTCCTTTTGTGCTACACGTGAATTAGGCCAGGGTGAGAACTATGAATCTCACAAACAAAGAGAAATTGGTTGTTTTGTTTCTACTCTGAATCATGAAATTGAGGTTTATCTTTGTTTCTGTAGTCCAACAGAGGCTGACTGAATTCATAGTGTTTTGAATGAGGAATTCCTTCATTTGAGTGTCTTTTTAAAACATTAAGCTGAACTGTCATTTAATACATGTATACAAATTAAAATATTAAACATATTGATTAAATTCTCTTATAGTCATAAGCTTACTTTCAGTCCTGTATAATATGGAGCTAAATCATATAAAATATGACAATCATTTATTGGTTAACTTGGTAAATTGGTGATAACTCATATGAGTTACATATGTTTAGAGGTTGAAAAAACTGCAAGGAATATTGGAGCCTTGCAACAAAAAAAAACAACTCAGCCATTAATTTTGATTAACATTTTAACATAGTTTTATATGAACATGTTAAGTAAAAGTATGAATTCATTATAGTCTATATTAGCGGCAAAAATGAAAGAAAACACATTGGGCATGGACACTCGTATGTAATCACTTAAGCTTTGATATTGACCAATAAGTTGATGAACACCCCAAAAATACCACAGTGAGACAAACATTCCCTTTTACAGACTGAAGCCAGTAAGAGTTGCTTTGAGTATGCTGTGTACATACACTCTGTTATCGGACACTCGCAATATTGTTTCTACCAATTAAGATTTAGGCGTTAAAAAAACCTCTTATTGCGCTCAATATTGCTCAAATTAAAATGGTTAATAAAAAGTAATAAATATTGGTTGCATGTACGTGCTCCAAAGCTAAAAGTAAAGATTCTTTAGAAAAATATCAACATCTTCCCCAGAGAACTGTCACACCCTGGTGGCTGCTACGTCACACCCTCTACGTCTGGTAAATCCTGCATAACTAGCAAACCCTTAAAGCAAAGCATATACATCTTTCCAAAAGGACAAAAGAAGCCTACAAAAGAGTTGCAAAGAAATATCTGTGTGTAATTTGAAGGGAAAAAAAATCGGGTCGTTTATGGCTAATCTATTAATATCATAATATTTCCTCAGTCACCAAGAGGAAAGAAATGTCACTTTTGTTTTACCAGTTGGAATTGTCCCAGACTCCCAAGTTCCTTTGCGAAAGTCGTAATTGAGTGAATTTCCTCTAGTGACAGGCACTGATTTAACACCTTCTGATAGTTTCCTTCCTGGAAAGGAAAAAAGCCTTAGGCAATAGTGAAACAGTCAAATCATCCTCACCCCCACGTAATAAACCAATCAAACTCTATAACAGGTAAACTTACTAAAGTTATAGAATTCAAACAAATTATAAATCGCCACAACAACATCTAGAGGTAAACAGTATCCGTAACAGGTAAGAGCACACCTACCACCCCAGATTTCGCTGCATCCATTTGTTTCCTGAGATCAGGGGCGACGCTTTGTGAAGAGATGTGTGTGACAGGCACCATCAGTGCCTTTGTGAGAACTTTTACATTCTCCCCTTCCAAATTATCCAAATATGGGTTTCAAAGTAGAAAGACATGGTGGGGGGGGGGAGGTAGGTAATGCTATGGTAGTCAGTACGTTGTGCTAGTTTACCATCAAAAAAAAAAAAAAAAATCAGCCCCATCTGAAGCACTCCGGCCTGACTGACAGTGTCTAGCCAAATGTTAACAAACGTCAATATTTAAACAAATCAATGTATTAATTCAAGTGCCCTGAGGTAGTGATAAAGCACCCTGGCTGGCATTCTAGAGGGCATCCCAAGAGTTCCAAGAGTCTATGTAAGGTGTTCTAAAATAAATAAACATGTACTATCATTTCAAAATATCTGTAAAACATTCCTTAACAACTATGAACTTTTGAATTCATTTCTATCACAGCTCTTCACACGTATGCTTAGTCAATATAAAATGATGTTGGTCTTCGGTCCAGAAAAGAATCAGAAGCACACGGTAATCGATAACAGTTATTAGTTAATTTCAAATAAACTATTAAATTGAACAACAATAATAACTAGTGGCTGAAAAACCACTTGTCAATATACAAGGATGAACTTACCTCAAATGTCCCTGGTCTATAAAGCCTCTGCAATATCTCAGAAAATGTGGAAAGTGAAGATGCATTGGAGAAGAGGAAGCTGAAAGTATCTGTTAGAATAATGTTTTCTGTATTTTGGTCCTCCAAACTGAAATTCTCATCATCTTGAACTTTTAAATGCTCGTGTACCTTTGGAGGAAGAGAAGGAGAGGAGACATTGCACTGAAATGAATTCTAAGTCCTGATTTATTCAGGTTGGATTGTAGACCAGAGCTGACATCTAGTGGTCGTCTGGAGGCTAACAGCTTTCTAAGCCTGGGTAGCGTTTCTAATGAAGATGATCTTCGTTCTATGCATAGGAGCATGGATTTTTTTCAAGGTTTCTCTAGCTTATCTTGAAACTCTTTATATCTCACATATATTTGTTCATGAAGGGTAATATATGGCCACTTTTCCAAAATATCCATTTTTATATGTTTAATATTAACTATTACATATGAATCGAAAAAGTGGGTGGCCATTAAAAGATCCATAAAGATCTAAAATTTTACAGATAAATCTTAAAGCTGTGAAATCTCTGTGACTGTATTCTCTATATTATGGTTTGGAAAAAATAAATACTGGTGGAGTTGGACTCTGGCTGCCTCTTATATTACTTTGCTCCCCTTTCCTTCCCACTTTGTGGCCCCATAGACAGCTTTTAAATAAATCAACTAAATCAATTTTTTAATCGTTTTTTTAACCATTGAAGCCTGTTTTAGAAGACAAAATATTCTGAGGAAAGTGATCTAAATGAGTTTTAACTCAAAACAAACAAACAAAATACATACATACATACATATATATGTATGTACACCTATATACATACGTACATACGAACATATATGAACCAGAAAAATATTTTAAAAATTTACAGGACTATTGATGCCTTAAATTAAAAGTAATGTATTTGTATTGCTGGGGATCAAACCTAGGACCTAGTGCGGTCCGAGCAAGAATTCTGCCACTGAGACGTCTCTTTACTCCCCAAGGCTTTTTAATGAAGGTGTAGACCAATGACAGAGCCACCTTGTCATGACACCATGCAAGCATTCTGGGTCATCGTGGGTTTGCTGTTGTTGATATGTCTTGCTTTCCTCCATGAACACGTACGTGACTTACTACATTTTTGGCTCATAAATTCGGAGGAACTCTAGACAACTTCGTGTTTGTCCTAGCGGGTCCCCAGTGGTGATTACAACAGACTCTCCCTGCTTGTTAGGAGTCATCACAGGAGTCATGAGCCTGTGATGACTGTAACGCAAGTTGTCGTTAATCAGCTGTGAATGAGAACACACTCTCCCGACACACACACTTCATCCTGAACACTCACCTGGAGCACCACAGGATACCCCAGCTCTCCATAGCCAACATCAAACGTTAAAAGCTGAAAACACTGTCTACATCTGGAAGGAAAAACACAGGGTAACAGGATAGCATACTCCCTTGCTACGCTTACTCTACTATCTGCTATTTCATTGTTAATAACTGATATAGTTAAATTTCAACAAGTTAAAAGGTGAGTGGTGTGGATAATAGAAAAGTACGGGAAATGAACTGTGCAGGATTTGAATATCTTTTGTTCATTAAAGAATATGCAAATATGCCTCCATGCTCCATGAGACACTACAATAACCAATGATGTTATTCCGTGAGAACCGTAATATGAGGAGAAGTCTCCAAGTCCTCCATGCTCCACACAAAGGCATGCAGAAGTGTGAGAATGAGCAATATATATTGAGCACCTCTCCATTTTTGGAAAACTAGACAACACTTCCTTAGAATAAAGACAGTAAGCTAAGTCTAAAGAAGCTGAGGTATGAGGGTATAGGTGAGTGAATCTTGTTAGCAAAAGCTTTTGTTTCTCAGCATTTTGAAATTAGGACATTTGAGAACAAAATGTATTATGTATAGATAAAGGTATAGCTAGCCAATATTTAGTATATTTGATGAAAATACTAGAAATGTGGCTACAATTTCAAATTAATGTTAGGACCCAAGCACAGACTTGTGGACCCAGCACTTAGGAGGAGGCAAGAGGGTCATAAGTTCCAGGTTAGTCTAGTCTGCAAAGTAAGGTTGCTTGGAAGGTAATAATGATGAGGATGACAGTGATAAGCTCTGTCGTCTATTTCTTGCCGTATTATTTGGATGCAAACAAATGACATGTAACACACTCTAAAGTTTTAAAATCTATCAATTAGGCCAGACATGTTTGGAAGATCATGTTATGACGCATTGACATACAGTTTTCCAAGTACTATTTACTTTAAATAAGTTTTTTTCACTATTGACTTTTATGATTCCCCACCCCCACCCCCAGCCATCTGTCCCTGTTGTCTCTCTCCCACCTATGGAGAGTCTTTGGTCCCAGAGTAGAAGCCTCTTCACTGAACACCTCCGCCACCAAGAGGAGCTTGCTAATTGCTTCCTTCATGTTGTCCAGTGCCAGCAGAGGTGAACTGGTCCTTAGGAATGTCTCAAAAAACATCTGCAGCTGGAAGAAAACAAAATATTGACATGGCAAAATAAATTTTCATCTGCCTTTTGTTTTCAAGGTAAAAAATATGAAGTGATCCTTTAGGCTATGTCTGTCAAAAAAAAACATTTTAAAGAGGAAAATTTAAGACTGTAAGAGTTAAACATTTTTACTTTATTTTTATATTAATTACACTTTATTCACTTTGTATCCCATCTGTAGCCCCCTCTCTCATTCCCTCCCAATCCTACTCTGATTCCCTCATTTTCTCCTATGCCCCTCTCCAAGTCCACTGATAGGGGAGGTCCTCCTTTCTTTCCATCTCACCCTAGCTTATCAGGTCTCATCAGGACTGGCGGCATTGTCCTCCTCTGTGGCCTGGCAAGGCTGCTCCCCCATCAGGGGGAGGTGGTCAAAAAGCCAGACACTGAGTTCATGTCAGAGACAGTCCCTGTTCCCTTTACTAGGGAACTCACTTGAATACTGAGCTGCCGTGGGCTACATATGGGCAGGGGTTCTAGGCAATATCCATGAATGGTCCTTGGTTGGAGTATTAGTCTCAGAAAAGACCCCTGTGCCCAGATATTTTGGTTCTTTTGCTCTCCTTGTGGAGCTCCTGTCCTCTCCAGGTCTTTCTAGTTCCCCCTTCTTTCATAAGATTCCCTGCACTCTACCCAAAGTTTGGTCATGAGTCTCATCATCTGCTTTGATACACTGCTGGGTAGAATTTTTCAGAGGCACTCTAATAGGCTCCTGTCCTGTTTCCTGTTTTCTCCTTCTTCCAATGTCCATCCCATTTGTCTTTCTGAGTGAGGATTGATTATCTTACCCAGGGTCCTCCTTCTTGTTTATCTTCTTTAGGTGTACAGATTTTTGTAGGTTTATTCTATATTATATGTCTAGTATCCAGTTATAAGTGAGTATATACCACGTGTGTCTTTCTTCTTCTGGGATACCTCACTCAGGATGATCTTTTTTAGATCCCACCATTTACCTGCAAATTTCATGATTTCCTTGTTTTTAATTGCTGAGTAGTATTCCATTGTCTAAAAGTACCACAATTTCAGCATCCATCTCTCCATTGAGGGACATCTGGGTTGTTTCTAGGTTCTGTCTATTATGAATAAAGCTGCTATGAACATGGCTGAACACATGTGGCTGAGCATGTTTTGGATGTATGCGTAGGAGTGGTATAGCTGGATCTTGAGGAAGCACTATTCCTAATTGTTTGAAAAAGAACCAGACTGATTTCCAAAGTGGTTGTACAAGTTTACATTTCTACCAGAAATGGAGGAGGGTTCATCTTTCTCCATATCCTCTCTAGCATGTATTATCTCTTGAGTTTTTTATCTTAGCCATTCTGATGGGTGTAAGGTGAAATCTCAGTCATTTTGATTTGCATTTCCCTGATGACTAAGGGGTGTAGGGAAGGAAGGAAACAGTACTGACTTGGGTCACCCAGTCTTTCCCTGGAAAAAGTCTTGCAGACTGGCGGGTATGAGCCGCCATCACTGAACTGGGCTCCAGCTGAGAGCACAGACAGTTGCTGTGTGCCCAGCTCTTTGGCACAGACAGAGCTATGCGCCCCAGGACACCAGAGACAGGGAGTCACTGTTGGGAGGAATCCTCACAGGGAACGAAGCAGAGGGAACTGACTTAGGCCACCCAGTATATCCCTGGAAAAGGGCCCGCAGACCTGCCCAACCCAGGGACCTGCGGTGCACCATATAGCCTGCTGTTACCAGGAGAGCAGTACTCACCCACCACAGATTACCACTTGGGTACAGGGGGAAGAACCCCAACCTCAGACCTACGAAAGCCCAGGATCCCCGAGATCAACCCCCAGATACTGCTCCAAGGGGCAACCAGATACCCCTAACAAAACTGACCAAACCACAGGACACAAAGTTTACAGCAACAGATCACTAAATTTACAGCAAGAAACCCAGAAGCAGGGCTTCAGGACTTCTCCGAGTGAGTGGAGAGCCCTCTCGACTAACAAGGACCACAGTTACCATTCAGGTCTCTATGCCTGAGGTGAGCAGTGGCAACTCCTGTAAAACACTGGCCATCCAGTGACTGTACCCAAAAAGCTGAGAAGGCTTCCTTCAGGAAAAATCATCTTCCTGCCAAGGGGATTCTCTCCACCACAGGATCCCAGGAACCACCAGAAATAAACTCCAAACACCTAAGCTAGCCCAATGGGTAGAGGCCAGCAAAAAAGCTCAACCAACAAAAGACAGGGCAATTTGGCATCTCCAGAACCCAGTTATCCAGGGGCAAGTAGCCCTGGACACCCCAGGATAATTGAAATTCAAGAAGATGACCTAACATCTATGCTCTTGAAGAGGATAACAGAGGAAACAAATAAAATGTGAAAAGACCTAAAGGAAGATGAACTCAAACAGATTATGGCCATCCGTAAAGAAATAGAGGAAGCTGCAGCCAAACAGTTTGTGGCATTTAGAGAGGAAATGCTTAAATCACTGAAAGAAATAAAAGAAACATAGGATTGTTCAAACAAACTGAAGGAATTGAAGGAAAAACAAGAAAATACAGTCAGACAAGTGAAGGAAATCAATAAAACAGCTCAAGATCTGAAGATAGAATTGGAAAAATTAAAGAAAACACAAATGGAGGAAATTGTGGAGAGAAAGAACTTAGGGATGAAAACAGGAACTACAGAGATTAGCATAACCAATAGACTACAAGAGATGGAAGAAAGAATCTCGGGTGTGGAAGATACAATGGAAGAAATAGATGTATCTGTCAAAGAAAATGTTAAATCTAAAAAATTACTGACACAGACCATCCAATAATTTCAATACAGCATAGAAAGACAAAACCTAAGAATAATAGGAAGAGAGGAAAAAGAAGATTCCCTCCTCCAAGGCCCAAAAAATATTTTCAACAAAATCATTGAAGAAAATTTTCCCAACTTAAAGGAGAGGCCAATAAAAATACAAGAGGCCTACAGAACAGCCAATAAAGTAGACCAGAAAAGAAAATCTTCCCACCATGTAATAATCAAAACAGTAAGTATACAGAACAAAGAAAAAATACTAAAAGCTGTAAGGGAAAAAGGCCAAGTAACATATAATGGCAAACCCATTAGAATCACACCTGATTTTTCAACAGAGACTATGAAAGCCAGAAGGGCCTGTACGGATATCATGCAGACCCTAAGAGAACACAGATGTCAGCCCAGGCTACTATACCCAGCAAAACTCTCAGTCTTCAAGATGGAGAAAACAAGATATTCAATGATAAAAACAAATTTCAACAGTACCTACACACAAATCCAGCATTACAGAAGACACTAGAAGGAAAAATACAACCCAAGAAAACTAGCTACTTTCAAGAAAACACAGGAAATAATTAACCCCACTACAGTAAAACAAAAAGCAACCAAGCACACAACCTTATGACCACAGCCAACATCAAAATCAAAGGATCTAACAGCCACTGGTGATTAATCTCTCTCAACATCAATGGACTCAATTCTCCAATAAAAAAAGACACAGACTAACAGAATGGATGCGTAAACAAAGCCTAGCAATCTGTTGCATACAAGAAACACACATAAGTCACAAAGATAGACATTACCTAAGGGTAAAGAGTTGGAAGACTGCTTTCCAAGCAAATGGACCCAAAAAACAAGCAGAAGTAGCATTCTAATATCTAATAAAATAGAGTTTCAACCAAAATTAATAAAAAGAGATGGGGAAGGTCACTTCATACTCATCAAGGGAAAATTCTACCAAGAAGACATCACAGTCCTGAACATCTATGCCCCAAATACAAGGGCACCTACATTTGTAAAAGAAACATTGATAAAACTTAAACCACATATTAATAGTGGAAGACTTCAACACCCCACTCTCAACAAAGGACAGGTCAACAAAACAGAAATTAAACAAAGAAACAATATCTCTAACAGCGGTCATGAATCAAATGGACCTAACAGACATTTACAGAACTTTACACCCAAACACAAAAGAATTTACCTTCTTCTCAGCACCTCATAGAACCTTCTCCAAAATAGACCACATAGTTGGTCACAAAGCGAGCCTCAACAGATACAAGAAGATTGAAATCATCCCTTGTATCCTGTCTGATCACCATGGAATAAAACTGGACCTCAACAACTACAGAAATATCAAAAAGCCTACACACACATGGAACCTGAACAACTTGCTACTAAATGACAGCTGTGTCAGGGAAGAAATAAAGAAAGAAATTAAAATCTTCCTAGAACTCAATGAAAATGAAGACACAACATACCCAAACTTGTGGGACAAAATGAAAGCAGTGCTAAGAGGAAAGTTCATAGCACTAAGTGCCTTCAAGAAGAAATTTGAGACAGCTCATTCAAACAACTTAATGGCTCATTTAAAAACCCTAGAAAAAGAAGAAGCAGACACACCAAAAAGGAGTAGACGGCTGGAAATAATCAAACTCAGTGCTGAAATCAATCAATTAGAAACAAATAAAACAATTCAAAGAATCAATGAAACCAAGAGCTGGTTCTTTGAGAAAATCAACAAGATCGACAAACCCTTAGCCAAGCTAACTAAAAGGCAGAGAGACACCACTCAAATCAACACAATCAGAAATGAAAAGGGGGACATAACGACAGACACTGAGGAAATCCAAACAATCATTAGGACTTACTTCAAAAGTCTATATGCCACAAAATTTGAAAATCTAAATTAAATGGATAATTTCCTTGATTGATTCGACTTACTAAAGCTGAATCAGGACCAGGTAAATCAATTAAATAGTCCTATATCCCCCAAGGAAATAGAAGCAGTCATCGAAAGTCTCCCATCCAAAAAAAAAAGCCCAGGACCAGATGGTTTCAGTGCAGAATTCTACCAGACCTTCAAAGAAGAGCTAACTCCAGTTCTCTTCAAACTATTCCACAAAAATAGTAACAGAAGGAACATTACCAAACTCATTCTATGAAGCCACAATCACCTTGGTACCTAAACCTCACAAAGACCCAATAAAGAAAG